ATAACAAGAAATTAATGTCTAAAAGTGAATATTTTATTATTTAACTTTAAGAACCAAAAATGAAAATTCAAGTGTTTTTTAATGTTTGAAATGAGAATCTAAGCATGAGAACAGAAACCAAAAAAAAAATAAAATTTTTTTTGTTGACCGGTGTAATATGCCAAATACATGATTATACACATATTAACATGTCTAGATATTTATGCATGCAAGTGTATATGTTTATCCTCTGGTAATTTAGTATGTATGTATTTGAATTTATGTACATACATCTGCCTGTGTGTATAATTTTTTCACGCAATCAGAAAGTAACGTCACGCGCTGATAAGTGTAAATCAAAAGCAATTCAACGTAATCGCCACTGCTAAAGTCCAATGGAGCCCACCCAATCAGTTGAAATTGACTTTGGTTGATTGAGTGCGAAATAACGCCATTTTAGTTTAAACCTTTTTATTCTTAAAAATTAAAAAAAACAAAGAAAATAACGAGGTTTAGTGAACTCCGAAAACTCCAAACGATTTATTTGAGTTATTATCAGCATCGTTTGACCAATACAAATTGGCGGATTTTTGTAGCAAAGACGCAGCGTCGCAAGGACTTAACAAAGGCGCCTACCTAATATACAAACGGGTATGCATTAGGGTGGTCCAAAAATGCATGCAAAACAAAAAAATATAGTCGGAAGTTGTATGCTCTCATGCCCTAGGAGTGTTCTACATCGAAAAGCAAAACACCCCTGTTTTGTATATCAAAATCAAAAAATATTTCGAATTCGCTCAGAGCGCTCAAAATTTTCCATCTATTTTATATTTAAAAAAACAACTTTTTGTACGAATAATGGTTTTTTCCAATTTAAAATACATGGAAAATTTTGAGCGCTATATACATATATAATTTTTGATTTCGTAATAAAAAAATAGGTGCATGTTTTTTTCGATCCCAAGGGAGAGAGTATTAAAATTCCGACATACTTTTTTTGGACCATCCTAGTATACATACATACATATGTACATACATTTGCACACACGTTTGCAAGTAGGCACTCATTCGAAGAAGTATATTGTGTACACGTGTGTGCATATGGTTTCCCCGCCTTACGCCAGAAAGTCAGTCACACCCTCGGCACCAATATTATTAATTTTGCATTTTAGCAGCCATAAATATTGGTAACTGAGGCATGACCGAACGGCCGGCCGCACAGCCAGGGCGCGTTAAATTGACTGGTAGGCGGGTAGAGCGGCACGTGTCTGGACCGCACATGTGGACGCTAAGCGCCATTTTCGGAGATTCCCCAATTTTTTTCGTTTTTTTTTTTTTTTTTGTAAGCGGATTTTCGCATTCACCGCACTGAATTTTTCGCATGAAATGTCCAACTCAATGGAATGACATGCTTGCCGTATTGTTCTATTTTTTTTTTTGCACCCTCTACTGTTCTGATCACTTAAAATCCAAAAATGCATAAAGAAACGGAGATAAATGCATCCCGAGCCCTGTTCCCTGTTTTCATTGGCACTTTACACTTTGACATGCGAAATAAATTTGTTTGCGCTTTAAATAATTTACAGTAATTTATTGCATTGTCACCCTCAAAGGTGCTGCAGAGAGTACAGTGAAAAGACGGCAGGCAAACGTTAGCCTCACTTCCAATGCATTCATTGGCAAGAGAAGAATGGTGCCGTGGAAATCGCGCGCTGTCCCCGTAAGATGCCCAAAGTGTGCCTATTTCCACATGAGTTATTTTTACTTAACAGCGGCATTGTATTGTAGTTTATTTTCGGAGTTGTACTTTGCCCTGAATTGCAACGGCTTGTGCTGAGTTGGTGGAATGCTGGTGCAAGTGCAGCAACCCCACAGCTGTCAACTGCTTGCCAAAGTGGAGTTTCAACGCTGCATCTCCGACACATGCATATGAGAGGCGTGTGCGCTGTAAGTAAAAGCAAGTAAAAAATATATATTTTGAGGGGTATACATATATCTCAATCATTTAAGCTTGATAGTCAATGATGGATAGATGGTAGGACAAAGTACACATGGCATTGATAATTGTAACCATTGCAGCTTAAATATTTACATTAGTTAAGTTTTTGCTAAGCCTAGAACACTAAAAATTAAATTATTTTTGTTAATGAAAATTAGCAAGTAGATATATAAAATACTGGCAAGAGTGATCAGATCGATCTGAGAAATCAGTTCGTTTTCAATTAAAGATTTCAATTTAAAGACTCAAGTTTACTCAAGAAAAGTATGTCTATTAATCCCAGAAAGCGAAGCATAGACAATTATAAGATATTAGTACAACTTACGTATTCAAGAAATTATTTCGAAAGCCTTTTAAGAATTACAAATGCGGCCTGAATGCGTGAACGAAACGATGCAACGTTTGTTTTTTAAGTTGTCTGATAAAAGTGTTAAGATAAGAATATTGCCGAAAATGGAGATGGAGAAGAAGATAAAGATAATGAAAAAAAATCAAGGAACCTACAAATTAAACGTTGGGAAATAACTCTTATTGGCGACGGAAAACATATTCCTCCTGCATAACAGTTATCAGGCATCGTAAAAGTAAACGTTGGTCAATAACAGTTATCGTCGCAATAAAAAATATTGTTCAGAGATAAATTTATCTTTAACTTTCTAAATAAAAAAAATCTCTTATCAAATGAGATAATTAATTATATCACTACCCACACAAGATTGATTCTTTGTTCGGGTTTTAAAAACCACAATCGAACTTTCTAGGACACTCGCAGCCAAACTCGAATCTCTTTCACCAGCCCACACGTGAAGTTAGCACATATGTTTGTATGAAAAACTGGGTACTGAAATTTTTCAATTACCTACATACGTACGAGTTTACATACATATACACATATTATTAGACTGCCTCGTGCTCCATACAGAGAAATATCGGTTCACCTTCCCAAAGAGAATTTTAAAATTTGGTAAATTTTATAAGTCCAAACTGCCAAACGGCCAAAATCGCTTAGGCGGTTACAGCGCCAAACAAGAAGAAGAAGAAACAGTTTATATCTGATAAAATATATAGAAAAATATTAACTTAAGCGATTTGCAATTGTTTACAAAAATTCTGCTAAAGTGTTCAAAATAATTAAATTTATGTTGCAAATTGAAGCAATTTTGTAGTGAAAGGATTTTCTTTCCCTTTTAACTTTGACAATATTTGACAATTATGTGAAACAATTATCTTTTCAATTAAACGAGTACCTCGGAACATAACCAATTTATTCATAGTTTCATAAACAAATTCATCTAAAAATTGCTGAAAATTACTTGAAGCTGGACAGGAATATTCGGAAACATTTGGCTGAGTTCTTCAAAGTTATATGAAAAATTAAAAGGTTGCCGACAAATCGCCAAAAACGCCTTAATTTTGAGCATGGCTTACGGATTTTTTGTTTTTAAGTTTTAAGGAACTTTATGCCGACCCCTTCAGCTTACATTCGTTTATCATTAAGAGTATTTATTTAAAAAATATATATAATTTTATGACCAACAATTCAATTTGTAGAGGTATTTCCAATACGCTACAGCTCATGGATGGCGCTATATTAAGCAAACACATTTTTGGTAGGAGTCATAAACCGATCAAAGAAAATTTTTTTTTTTGTTTCTGTGAGGCATCCTAATAAACATCTATTTCTGCAAACTATTTTCGTATCCATGCCAATATTTGTATTGAAAGAAAACAGTTTGTGTTTACTCACATTGATTGTCAAGTTTCGCTCATTACTTATGTGCAAACACTAACAACCATATTTCTGAACAAAGTAACAGCCATAACGTATAAACGTTTCGCGTAGGTGCCTCAATCAAGCAACCATCTGTTCAACAATATACTCTAAGCACCACTCAAAGCACCGCTTCGTGCTGGAAAAAAAGCAGAACGTTTGACCATAAATGGTAAAAGTAAAAATTTGCAAAATTGTATGGCAATGGCGTTGTTGACCACGAAACTTATACATATGTACATACATAGAACGGGCGCTCGACAGCACACGAAACGGTTGGAAGGAGGCCACTTGTGTTAGCAGAGTAAATAGAGTTAGTCCAGGGTAGCAAAGTGACTGGTGTACGCTGCCGCGTAGTAATATTAGCGCGTCCACCAGTAATGTACGCTTTTACACAAATTTATTTGTGTTGCTAACTGAGAATGTGGCAACGGCGCCGACATTGCCACCACTAACTCTGCCAACTATCACAATAAAATCATAACGCAAAAAAAAAATCATAATGCAAAAAAAAGAAAAAACAAAAACGTCCCCATCTGATGCCACATTGGCATTGTTGCTGTCAATTAGTTTAGTTTTACTTAGGGTACTGGGCCCGCCGCCGACCGCAAACATTGCGTGCAGTGAAGTCATTGACTTTTTTTCCTCATAAGTGAATATGCACAATATAAACTTTTGTAGTTAAATGTTGCCTTTTCTGTGGTCAGCACATTTTTTTTTTTACTTTGCGCACTTTTCTCTTTGATTTTGCAGTACATATATAAGTACCTAAGTATGTAAAAATTTTTCCCGCTCTTCATATTTTAGCGCAAAATTTAAAATTTTTGGCACGTTGTTTATACTTTTAAGGAAAGGAAACATTCATTTAAACGTATAGTGGTTAACTTCGTAGGACGTTGCTATAAAAATTATTGCGTATCTATGTATTGGTGAATATTTATTGCGCTTATTGATATTCGGAAATTTATTTTTTAACTCGCCCACATTTTTATTTTTTTAGGAAATAATAATTGTACGTGACTTACATACATTAGGGATATCAAAAAGGGAATTTGCAAATTCTTGACACCACAAATTTTGACGTGATAATTCAAGTGAATATTTTGCTAAAAAAAAAAGTTTAAATAAATGGCTGACTTCCTTCAGTGATTTTAACCCAACGTTAGTTAGACAAAAATAAGTTTAATCCATTTACTTACCAGAACTTTTCGTGCTCGTGCTCCTTAACATTTCGTAATAAATTTTCCGAACATGCAACTGGGTATAGAGACTCAAAATGCTATAATGAATATTCTAGAGGTATACCCAATAAATTCATCGTTCATCCTCCCACTCTCCCCACAAGTTTGAAGAAGTCTGTATAAAAATTTGTATCAGGGACCGTAATCATTGTGAGTTCTAAAAAAAATGTGTATTTACATAATAATTAGTTCCAGGTTGACCGAGCTTTGCCCGAAGTGCATATACTTTTAAAAGTTTTTTACGATTTGAATAGCTTTAACAAAAAAATTTGAAAAATTAAAAAAAACCATAATCTGAAAACTTTTCAAATAATAATTTTACAATTGCAGGTTTTTAGTGCCCCTGCATATGTAATACCTAATAAAATGAATTTTTAATACATACCGGCGTGCATGTATACTATTAACTAAAGCCGACAGAAGCAATTATTTTAATTTATTTGACTTGTTAATCACATCAAAGTTCAAATACCTCAGAACTTAATTAATATTGCTAAGACGAATTGGGTGGATTTTTAATTGGTCATAAATGAAAAACATAAAAAAAATATCCTCACTAAAATTGCTTGGGAAGAAAACGTGCATATATAACAAATAAATCAAAGCATTCGAACTAAAGGCGCAATATTCATATATATTAAGTATGTATGTATGTTTGTATGTACGTGTATAAGTAAATGTGTATAAATGTATGTACACTATATATAGTAGTGTAAGTATAAATACTTGTACAAATAAGCAGCTGCATACGCGAATAAGAAAAAAACATCATTCATTAAGTATATAAGCCGCTTATTTTGAAAGTGACATAAGTCATTTCCATCTCTTGTTGTTAAATTTTTGGTTACTTCTAACTGTGAATGCTGCATTTGTAGATCATTCTAATCGTTCTAAACTAATGAGAGAACGTTTTACCTTTGGTCGATGAAGTTGAACGACGAACAGACGCGTTCAGATACAGGTAAATGATCACTGAAGTCAAACTGCATGATATGACATATGCCACTTTCAAAATTAACGGCCCATATGTGCATAGTATGTACATATCTACAAATTGTTCAATATATGCAAGCAACGACAAAGTGGGAAGGTAACACGCCTCAAACAATTAATTATAGCCCAGCGAATGGCTACTTTTTATTTGCGGCGCTTTCTAGGAAACAACTAATTGCTTAGATTTCATGCAAATTTTTGGCTCCTAAGGAATTATATTTATTTATGTATGTATAGGGAAAATTCGCAGAAAATCCTACTATACTTTTGCATATATTTCAATAGTAAATATGTTTGTAGGAGCACCTAATTATTAAATGTATATCATCTGCACTAATCGCCGCCCACTTTTCAAATAAATTTCATTTTCTATACTACTATACGATTAGTTCAGTAGTAGTGTGAATACAAGAGAGATCACATCTGTTTAATAACGACATAGATGAGTTTAACGGCAGAGCCAAGTGCTAAGGGAAATACAAAATTTAATACATATGTACATAT